ATTTGATATAGTGCGATTTTAAGTCTTCGAGAGTCGCAAAGCGCTTCACAGAATATACTGTATGTTTTGTGGGCAAAATGCGTCAGCCAGTTGAGCACAGCGGTGTCCCACAAACAGTCATGGATTGAGTGACCAGTTTACTATTTTTTTTTGAAAGGGATATCTTTCAGTTCTGATAGGATTTGCTTATGGTTCCTTCACTTCAATCCTGAGATTCCACAATCAGAACCAACAACTCTTGAGTTTACCCTTTGAGCCTCTCTTCATTCACTTCATGGCTGTTTGATGGACCTTGCCATATCAACCTGTCCGCTCCCTCCGCTCAGCGGGCTCCGGCCTGCTCCATGTCCCCCGCCCAGCCCACACCACCCATCAGCAGGCCTTCAGCCTCTCTGCCCCCACCCTTTCGAACTCCATCACACAGTCCTCCGCCTCGCTCCCTCCCTTGGCCTCCTTCAAGGCCCGTCTCAAGACCCTTTCTTTGACCGCGTCTTCGGTCACCCTCCTACTCTTACCGTCCCTGTCTTCCACCCCCTCCTGATCCCAATCCCCTGCTCGGGTCCAAATCCCTGACTGTGCAGCGCCTCGGCACGTTCTCCCAACGTGAAAGGCGCTGTACAAGTTGTCGTCGTCGTTGTTGCTTTGTGCAAAGTGGTATTCTAGGGGCTGCTGTGTTTGCCTACAAAAACAGAGTCACTACACTTAACAGCAACGCCCTGCTTTGAGACCTTTTGATGTTATACAGTAGTTGCTATATTGAATTCTTCTGACAGCTTTGTGAATGATTCCTTTGCTCACATTGTGGTGGTGATGTGCACATCACAGCACTAGAGGGAGTACAGAGACTGCTTTTTAACCAGAATAAAACCGAATGGGGAAAAGTTGTTGAAAATACATTCATCATGTGTTGCTTCCCTGCAACTTATTCCACTGGTCAGTGTGCATTAGGTAAGGACATTTTGACTGTGTTACCTTGTATTCAGGTTACTGAAGTATATAAAGTTATACAATACACAATGCATAAATACAATGGAGAAGAAAAGACAGAACAGATGTGCCAAGCAGCAGAACAGGAGGTCACACGTTCAGGTGTGTGAGCAGCAAGATTAGAATCACATAGAATCATACAGCACAGAAAGAGGCCATTCGCCTCGTCGTGCCTGTGCCGGCTCTTTTTGAAAGAGCTGCTCAACTAGTCCCACTCCCCTGCTCTTACCCCATAGCTCATTTTAAGCTCTATCTAATTCCCTTTTGAAAGCTGTTATCGTAACAACTCTCTTAAGACAGTTTTTTTTATATATGCGGAGGAGAAATTAACAATTAGTTACGAGACAGGGCTAGGATGCTGATCTCATTAGCAAATGCTTTGATGCTGTCATGGGAGGACGGTAGGGTGGATATTCCAGAAGGGTGAGATCAAATAGTACACTTCAACATAATATTGAAACAGCCAAATATTCCAAACAATGGGAGCTTTGTACAATTTTTCATAACTAATCAGTTATATGGAACATTTATTTTAAGATGTATTCAGTTCATTATCAAAGTTGTTGCTTCATGGTTAAAGCACTCGCCTCGCTAGCGAGTCAACCTGGGTTTGATTCCCGGACAGTACGAAACATTAGGCAAGTTTCCTTACTCCACACGCCTCTACCTAGCAGTAAGTAGGAACCCAGTCGTTGGTCAATTGGTGGATCACTTTCCAGGGGTAATAATGCTTTCAGAATTTTTAAAAAGCTAAATAATAATAATATGGCCACTGAATCCACGACTGTTTGTGGGACATTGCTGTGCGCAATTGGCTGCCGCGTTCGCCCACACATATGCGGTCAACTCACCTTACAGTATATTCTGTGAAGCGCTTTGGGATGTCCTCCCAACGTGAAAAGCGCTATATCAAATGCGAGGATTATTATTAATTACAATACAGTTATTCAAAACATTTTATTTGTGCGGTAGTGGACTTATAGACAATGACATCAGTCTGGCACACAAAGAGGAAACGAATCCGAGTAATAAAGCAATGAGTTTCATTTGAAATGTAATTCCTGTTGCGGTGAGCGATTGCCTGACCAGCTCAGTGTTTGCAGAAGTTAAACCTGGATCTGTTTGGAGTTTACACATAGTATGAAAGTCAGGTCAATGGAGTTGTTGAGATAACTGACACCGGAGGCTTCAGCTGGCGTAACTCACTCAGAGCTCCTGAACAACCGTAGAATTTTACAACAACTTGCATTTATTTCCACAGCGCCCCAGATCGCTTGACAGTGGCAGAGCTTGATGCCGAGCCATTTATTGAACGAGACATATTGAAATGCAAAACACTTTGGGGTTTATTCATGCAGGCTTTATTTATTGGATAAACTCAGGATTCACAATGTTGACAGTAACAAGAATATTTATAGATATGAAAATAATCTTTTCATAATACAATTAATCTCCATAAAATTGCAGAAAACACTGCTGGATTTAGGGCAGGAAATAAGCCTTTTCAGTAACTTGCTGTACCGTTCAAGTTGGCAGTGGTAGTTTAAACCATTGGGACCCTAGATTGCAGATTCACAAATAAATTGGAGGGTTTTTGACTTTAAGATGGGCATAATTGTGGAAAATTATGCACAATCGGCTGCCGTGTTTCACTCACAAAATACACTGTCACTACATTTTACAGTATATTCCGTGAAGCGCTTTGAAATGTCCCAATGACATGATAAGGTGCTATATCAAATGCAAGGATTATTATTTGCAAAAGAGATTTTTTTTTGTTCCCAGAATTTGTAAGAAAACCCATTTCTTAGTCTTAGCTGTGAGACTCTGGTGGGATAAAATTGTTAAATCCAGTCTTAATATAGAAGCTTTTTTTTAATATAAACAGTGCTTTAAAAAAATGACCGGCTTCCAAAGGCTTCCAAATTAAGGCTGAATTTAAGAATTTTCCACAATTACACCCCGTCTTAAAGACAAAATGGTCTGACGGGCTGAGCCTGGATGAATTACGGGTTCTGATATTTGCTTCTACTCCGTGCCCCTGATCCAGCTTCCACTGCTTGTTCCCAACTTTATCTTCAGGTCACAAATGTCAGGTCACTGACGCTGGTCATTTCCACCCGCTTAGAGAGCAACATAGAAGACTCTGGAGCTGAGATAGCGAGGCGAGATGTTCGTCAACTGCATCACAGGCAGTTGCTCGGGAAAGAGGGCAGCTAGCTCCAGATCAAGGAGGCCATTGTAAAAAGGGAGTTGCTTTGCCTTGATTTATCCTTCCCTTTTAGACCCCCACCCCCACCATAGCCTGAATAAGGTCCTGCTGGGATTAGTACTATGCCTTGTCCTTTTGGAAGTTAATAGTGCCTCTCTTTCTGGGGTAAAAAGGAAAGACCATTTTAATGCCACAAAAAAATGCACAATTCTTACAATCACAAACCCAGCAATAGATTTCAACCGTTTTAAAAAAAATAATCACCATAGAGTTTCTGATAATCTACCATTAATTACAGAATATGATCACAGATCAATACTAGAACATACAATTTACAGGCAATACAAATAATCATGTAAAATATAATTGATCCTTCCTGTGGGAAATATCACATTCCTGTCTGGAATGTTATCTCATCTCCATGCATGACTTTTTAAAATGTAATTTTCAGTAAATATAGCGTAAATCTATAATACTACATATGGAATACACCTTTAAGCAGTGGCAGTTTGAAGCAAATTGTGCTGACGACTAGACTAAAAGAACGAAGGGGAATCAGTGTGTAGCATTTCATCTGACTGGCTGGCGCAGAAACAGGACTTGATTGTCAAACGATCGAATGCTTCGCAATGTTTCCAGACATTTTAGCACACGGTCATTCGTAACAGGCACAAAATATTTTTTTTTTTTTTAAAAATCCTCCGCTCGCAACTATACTTATTTTGGCACTACAGTCAATTCACTTTACAGAATATCCTGTGAAGCGCTTTGAGACATCTTGAAGATGCGATAAGGCGCTATATCAAATGCAAGGATTATTTTTACTATAGGTTTTTTTTAAAAAAACTCAAGAAAATTCTAACTCACTCCATTCGCTCTTGCAACTGGATTATACAATAAATAATGTTTAAAAAAAAATACAAAAATAAAATCGAAAGTAATAAGTTAAACATCTATCTTATACTGAACCGTGTGGCTTTATTTCCAGCGCATTGTTGAACTGGGAGCCCGCTCAATTCGTATCCTGTCCTATCTGTGGGAGGGAGTACAGTACAGGTGATGCAAATCCCTAACAGACAAAGCAGTGGGCGGTTTGTTAAAAAAAAAAAATAAGATAAATAACCATCAGGTTTAACATACGCTTCCAGAAAAAAGGAAGTATGGAATAATCTGGGGAAATTGAGTGGGAGCTGAGTTTAGACTAGGCGGCTCAAGTGGAGAAAAACACTGGTGCAGAGTTGATTGGCTCAAAGGACCACTTCTGTACTGTAACATTAGGTAACCCTCATTAGTTATATGTAGGGACTGTTATATGGGAGTGAAATTATCCATTGATTCTACTAGGGTTGTTAGGGACAGAGTGACAACTTTCTAGTCCAATATCACACACGTTTGTAAGGACTCATCATCAAGAACAAATTATAGATTTCTGCTAGAAAATAACATCTGGGGATACAGTATATAGTTTGGGACACGACATGTCAAGTGATTGCCAGGATGGTGGAAGGCAAACTAGATGGACCCTGGTCTTCTTTCGCGTAGCAAATTCTTATGTTATTAAATTGAACCCCCCCCCAAAAAACATTTATCCTTCAGTGCTGTATTTGAACTCTATGTAGAGCGGTGGTTTAAGAGTTGGTACATCAAAAAAAACTTTTCAAAACGAAAGTTTTCAAAACTAGTTCTCCAAAAATATGTCAATTTGATGTCTAGTTAGTAAAAGAGATTTTAACCTGGAATGGGCCTTTGGTTCTAGTACCAAACCTCTGGAGCTTATATTCTACATGTATGTGTGTATACTTATATATTATATATATACACACAGATATATAGAATATATAATATATAGTCACATTGACAGTTACTTGACTTCTACTCACATTACAGCAGTCGAGGATTCACATGACATAAATACTCTTTAAAAAGCCAAACAAGAAATATTAATTCACTTGTTTAGCAAAATGTCTGGATTCACAGTATTGTTACATGGGGAGGGGAGGGAGCTTGCTCCTTCTCTTCCGTAGCCTCCTGCTACAGTTGATGAGAGGGGACAAGCGCTCAAGGTGTGCGATACGAGGGCCTTTCAATCTGCAAGCCACAATTTAGCTCGTTTGGGACTCTTACTCTGGGAGTAGGGTTTATACCAACAAAGCCATTACATTCAAAGAACCAACATCCTGTAGCCTCTGGGTTGGCCCCTGGGCCTTCCTTCCTCACTCACCCACCCAGCTCCAGAGGTGCAGATGGAGGTGTACAGAGCACTCTTAAACCAAAATATGAAAGTACATTCACACAGTGCTTTATAATAACTATAACTAGCATCGCAATTTGCTTTGAAAAAGACAAGCACATGATTTAGTGGCAGCTGCCAAGCCGTGTAGCAATGCAGATAGATACCCACTGGGATCCTGTACTGACACAGCGACCAGCAAGTAAAAGGTGGATATCGCACACCTGTGGCTTGATTCACGTCCACAAAGTGTCCAGGATCCACAAGCAGGTCTGTGGCACATTCAGCCCTTTCCTGGTGCTGTGCCGTGCCTTCAGCTGGACCGAGGACTCAGTAAAAGATATAGCTCTGGATTAAGTGGTGCGTGGAGCTAGCACAAGGTGGAGTTTACAGAGCGAGCAGCGATGGAGAATTCAGAGAGTCCGGGGAATGGTCGCTGCTGCTGTTCCGCTGGTGGAGCACCCCACAGCTGCTTCCCTCTGGGTATGTGAACACAAATGAAGATGTGTATGAGGAGTTGGGGCTAGGATTTACAACCGGCGTGTTCAGAGGCTCACAGTGCGAATAGAACGAGCTACCAAAGGACACCTCAGCCATAGATGCACCGATGGACACCTGAGAGCCCTGATGTGGGTGGGAGCCGGATGCAAAGTTCCTAGCGAAAGGGCTCTCTTTGATGTCCAGTAAGCTGGCCATTTCCAAAGCGCTCACCTCGCCTGAAGTGCTGGGCTGTGGGCTCAGATCATCTTGATAGGGGATTTTACAGGCCGGTTTGTGAGCCACCAACACGAATTCTAACCTCTCCTTCTCCTTCTGCAGCTCGGACACTTCGGATTGTAGTTCGGCCTTCTCTTCTTCCAGCTGGTCTGTCTCCTAATACCAGTACAAAAGGAAGCATGATTGGTACACACAACTCAAAAAACAATGTGCTATATCAAATGCAATGTTTATTGCTATTCAAGATTACATAACCCCCTTCACCAATGGGGTGATTCTTGTCTGGCTGAGAGCCAAGTAGTTCCCAAATTCAGCTTAATGCTCCAGGGTTGCCAACAGGGTATTCAACAACAACAAATTACATTTGTATAGATTCTTTCATGTCGGGAGGACGTCCCAAGGTGCTGGGCAGTCAGGGATCCGCACCAAGCTGACGGTTGGGATCAGGAGCTACAGAAGCTCCAATTCAGTCCTTATCCAGCATCCACACACTCAGCTCCCAGCAGGATGGTGATCAGGAGTTTACTTCCCTCAAACCCAAGGGCACTGAGGCTCAGTGTATCATAGAATAATACAGCACAGAAGGAGGCCATTTGGCCCATCGTGTCTGTGCCGGCTCTTTGAAAAGAGCTTCCAAATCAATCCCACTCCCCCGCTCTCCCTATAGCCCTGCAAACTTGTCCTCCCCAAATAATTATCTACTTCTCTCTTAAAAGTTGTTATCGAATCGACTTCCACCAGTATCCTTGCACCCTTGCATCAACATCGATGTAGTCTGACTTAAGATCAGTAGCAGCACAGCTCAGTGTCGGGAAAGTCTCACCTTATCTTGTTCAGCTCTTAGAGGCAGCTCCAGTGAGGGCTGTGCCCAGGTTATGAACCAAAGATAGAAAAATATACAGCTACTACACTTTACAGTATATTCTGTGAAGCGCTTTGAGGCATCTCGAAGACACGATAAGGCACTATATCAAGTGCAAGGATTATTTATATTATTATACAGGAACAGGATTAAGCCATTTGGCCCCTGGAGCCTGTCCCAACATTCTTTACGATCGTGTATGATCTGCATCTCAACTCCAATTACCCGCCCTTGCCCCGTATCCCTTGATACCCTGACCTAACAAAAATGTGATGATAATAATTGACTGTATATTTTTTGGGTGAAACACAGCAGCCAATTGCGCAAGCATGGATTTTTGAAGGAATTATTACCCTTGTGATGTGGGAAAAACAAATGCAAAAACCAAAGTTTGGGAACTTTTCCCTTGAACAAATTAGTCCTGGACTTTGGGATATGACCAAAGATACTGTGGGAAACTCAGCGAATCACAAACTCTAAAATGAAAGGATGAAGCATTGAAGAGTTGAGAGAATAGACGGCGGCGTCTGCTTACAATTTGCAGTCGGTCTGTCAGCTCCCGACGTCGATTCCGACACTTGGCCGCTGCAAGCTTGTTCCTCTCTCTGCGAACACGACGCTTCTCTTCCTCTTCTGCTGTGAGCTGCAAGATAGACAATGAGCATCAGTTACCTCTTTCTTGGGTGGCGGAGAGGGGGAGAGGGGAGTGAGTGCCATTCACACAGATAACTGTCATCGCAAAGTATACCGTCAATTCTAAAATAAACTGCCTTTCCTCCCCATGTAACTTGTTCAATTTGTTTTGCCCACAAAATAAACAGTCAATTCACTTTACAGTATATTCTGTGAAGCGCATTGAGGCATCTCGAAGCCGTGATAAGGTGCTATATTAAATGCAAGGATTATTATTATTATTATTATCACCAGCTCCCACTGAACCACCGTCAGCCAGGCTTCGGTTAGATGTACTGAAAATTCATGCTGGGTAGCTCTGCATTGAGGATCCATCTATTCCCCTCATCTTTCTCCCCCGAGGTTCCCCCAGCTCCTCTTTCACCCTGTGAGGAATATCACATCTCTCCCAAGCACTCCTGAACCATGTGCCGAAGGTGCAATGCATACACAGCCTGGTGACATTTCCAGACTTCCTGCTTGTGGAGCAGTTGCTTAGCTCCCACACAGTGCAGCTGGCTGCAGGAGCTCAGTGCAGTGGGGAGCAGGACATGCGTTGCTGGATTGTGCTGAGGCAACAGGTCACACATACACCGGTGAATAAATACAGCCTCCAATAATCCTGCAGGTACCAGAGAGGACTGAGAAATGCCTTGCACCCATCTTCTACAAAATATTGGGTCAATTCGCTTCACAGTATATCCTGTGAAGAGCCTTGAGACGTCTCGAAGATGTGATAAATCGCTGTATCAAATGGATCAAAACCACCGTATTATACAGCCTTGCTGTACCAACCACACAATGCGTTTCCAACCACAACTTTCCCTTCTAAACACAATCTCAGCCACAAGCTGCACTCAGGCATTTACCACCTGCGCTGTGATAGTGTCAGTTGTACCCTGGTATACCAGTACAACGGTCCACCAATCTACCTTCAGTTAGTAGTACATTTAAAGAATTGTGATGCTCAGTATTTGTGACTCCAGCCAACAAGATTTTCCTTCCATTGAAATAGCGACTTGCAGACGGAGAGAAAGACTATTTATTTAGCTTTTTTTCCACCCCACAAATAAGAAAAATCTTGCAACGTAAAGGAATTGGTGTACGTAGTGACATGATAAAACAGCACAGGTCCTTTACCCCAGAAACAGCTTCTAAGATTTTGGGCAGAGTTTCCACCCCCCACCTCCCTCCATTTCCTATAACACTCACCATCTCATCGCGTGCCCGGCGGGGACGGCTGGCTCGGGTGGGTTTAGTTGGCTCGGGGCTAATGTAGGAGCACATGGCTGGGGTAGAATAACTTGTCCCTGGGAGGTTGTACGGATCCATGATGGGCTGGGGATGGACGGAAGCCGGAGGCTGTGGCTGTGATTGAGCCATTGAGGAGATGACAGTTGGCTGAACCATCCACTGAAGGTCCTGGCTAGTTGTGATAGCAGTTAAGGTTGGTACAAAGGATCCTGGCATGTCCCCGATGCTGGTAGTACACTCCTGGAATAAATGGAATGTATTACATTTAAATTGGGTTTGGGAAGAGAAGTGACTGGGATGGGGAAAGCTCCGCAGGTCGTTCTTCTTCTAGTCGTGGAAGCTAAGGTACTGGAACCCCAAACTGGGGTGGGGGCAACAGGTCACCTCAAAAGACGTGTGGCCCTAGGAATTCCCAGCTACCAAACCTTTCTGTGTTTAACAGAACTTTGTGCAGCTTGGACCTAATGCTATGTTATTCTCTTCCTCCCCTCAAGAGGTTTCATCCCTACACAGTGCCCAGTCTGGGGGAGAGATAAAGCTATTGTACGAGCAAAAATGAGCTGTATATTGAACCACGTTGCTTCTTGGAACACTGGGTAACAACAACAACAACAACTTGCATTTACACAGTGCCCCTTACGCAGGGGAGTTAGTGTCCCAGGGCATTTAACAGTGGCAGGGGATGAGGGAGCTGACCGTAGGCACGGTTGAAGAGGATCTGGACTGAATGATCTGCTTTAAGTCCCAGGTGCTGAGCATCTGCCTCTTCACCTCATTTTACTATGAAGCATTTTAAACTCAGGTTATAATAATAATCCTTGCATTTGATGATAGAGCCTTATCACGTCTTTGAGTCGTCTCAAAGAACTCCACAGGATTATGTACTGTAAAGTGAATTAACTTTAGATTTTGTGGGCACAACAGAGCAGCCGATTGTGCACAGCAGCGTCCCACAAACAGTCGTGGATTGAGAGGCCAAATTATTTAAAGATTTATTTTGGGAGGGATTATCACCCCCAGAAAAGCAATCTGCCAGTTGACTTGACTACTGCTCGGTAATCAGGAGCTCGCGTGGGTGGAGCAAGGAAACTTGCCCGAGGTTTCACCCCGTCTGCCCGGGAATCGAACCCAGGTCCTCTCGTTTGCGAGGCAAGTGTTCTCATCCCTGAGCTACAGGTTATAGTCAAGCGAATATAAAGTTTATTGGCTATATTTTGTGGGAGAAACGCGGCAGCCAATTGCGTATAGCAGTGTCCAACAAACAGTTGGGGACCGACTGACCAAATTATTATTATTATTATTATTTTTGTATTTCCACAGCAACTCTCCCGTTCCCAAGAACCGTTACTATTTTGTATTATTTACTTGCGAAAGGGGAAAAGCAATCCGCCAATACGGTTATCGTAATAATATCGTATCGTGTAACGACCCTCGGCACGGCGCCTCATCACGTCTTCGAGACGCCTCGAAAGGCGCTTCACGGGATGCACTGTAAAGTGTAGTGACTGTGCGTTTTGTGACCGAAACCCGGGCAGCCAATTGCGCGCAACAAACAGCCGTGGGTCGGGTGACCGAATTATTATTATTGTTATTATTTTTTTTAATAATTATTAGACCCGGGACACGCGATTCCGCCAATCGACCGACGACCGGGTGCCGACTTGGCGCCGGGTATAAACAGCATAAACAACGCGACGCAGCGAGCGACAGAAATAGAGGGGTTTAGCAACAGAGGACAACAATAAATATATAGTATTGTTGGTCTTCTCGCCCCCGTCAGAGGGACTGTCAAGAGACTGGAGAGCGCGTTGCGCGTAGAGCGACAGGCAGCCACGTGCACGCACGCCCCGGCGAGCCCACGCCGGACCGACGTGGCGTCGGCGTCGATGACGCCCCTGACGGCGGCGTTGCCAGGCGACGTTCCAAAATAGCAGCGCGCCGCCTGACGTGGGCGACGCCGAGCCCGGGGGCGGCAGCGTGCGTAACGTCACCCGCGGATGATTCCAACACGTCAACCTTTACGCACGTCGAGTCAAGCCCAGGGTTTGAGGGCAAACTCGGCTCACGGTTGACCCCGGTCGCCCCCTCCCCCCCCTCCCCCCCCATCCCCGGCCCCAGGGCATCGGTGCAGTTTAATTGGAAATGTCTACCCCCTACACCCCCCCTTTACCCCCCCCCCCACACCCCAGGCACAGAGACTGATAGGGAATCTGCCATTTCACAGAGTTTCATTGATCTCAGCAGCGACCTACAGCTGTTTATACAGAGAGAGAGAGAGAGAAAGTGCTGGGCTGGATAGAGGGATCAAGTTGGAAGCACTTTCACCCTCCCCCCCTCCCCGGATAAAAATCAACCTAAAAGTATTTCTAAGTCAGGATATTAAGATATTGGTCATATTAAAAAAATACCACGAAATGCATAAATCGGTATATTATCTGTAGCGCTTCGAGACGTCTCGGAGACGTGATAAGGCGCTCTTATCAAATGCAAGGATGGATAATGTTATAAAGCGATAGGCGCTGACTTTCCCTCCACATCTATCCCCCCCCCTCCCCACTTCTCCCACACACGGGACACGGGTCCTTGCCTTGTAACCGGCTTTTCCATTCATTCAGAGACTTTGGCTCCAGCGGTCGGGATGGATTTAGAAAAATAATACGCTATTGATGTGTAGGACAAACGTGCTTTGTCCAACAGACCCACACTCGCTCACTACAGCAGTTGCCCCCCTGTCTACCTGCTTTAAAACGTTTTGACGTCGAGTCACCAAATATCAAACGCAAGGATTAAAACCGTTTAGATTCTTAGCTCTCGGGTTGACCGGCACCTGCCGGCATTACAGGTGGCACAACATACTTTTTCACTCGGACGACTCACCGATCAAGAAAAGAAAAACACACACACACACACACTGCCGCCACCGTTGACACTACAAATCGTGAAGCATTTCTGATTCGAGTCTCCTCGTTGACTCCACACAACACACACACACAACACACAACCAAAAACACGGGCACACGACCACCTTAAAAGTTATCCGTTTAAAGCTCCCAACTCACTTGTGCGGCGGTGGTGGGGCTGCCCACGCTCTGGCTGAAGGAATCCACGGATGACAGGTACTGGGGTTCCGAGGGGGAAGAACTGCAGCGAGAAGCCGAGTCAAAGTCGCCTGGAAATCCCTGGTACATGTCCTCCTCCCAAGTTTTCGCTCAGGTCCCAGCGTTGTGTTGGTTTTTTTGCAGCAGCAGCAGCGCCTCGAAACCCAATCGGAGTCGGGTTCCCCCCCCGAAAAAATAATAATAATAATAATAAACAGCGAGTGTGCAGTTAAAAAGAAGCTCAAAAGTCCTGGTGTATGTGTGTGTATGTGTGTGTCCCACCAACGCGCGCCTGAATCTTTGTGAATGAACTGCAGCCCTTCGATTGGTATTTATACCGTGTTTCCTCTGACGTCAGCGGCGGCGTAAAAAAAGAGAGAGAGAGAGAGAGAGAGAGATCACTCGGGGACCGTAAACAGCATTAAAAAAAACACAAGGCAGCGACCCCCCCCCACCACCACCACCGGGACAGTCACACGGCTCGACAGGGGCGACTCGGTCTCTCGTGCTGTCGGTCGGGCTTTTATTTGATAGAAATCCCCCCCATACAATGTCCCCTCTCTGTGTGTGTCTCTCTGTGGCCGAGCGTGGCTCCGCCCGGGAACGTGACGTACATGCCCATATATGGCTCTGTGTGTGAGTTGCTGTTTACTGGTTACCAGCGGTGACGTGGAGGGAATCCCTCTCCCCCTCTCCCCCCCCCCCCCCCCCCGGGGACCCGCTTTATCCACCGGGGGGGGGGTAGAGAGAGAGAGAGAGAGAGAGGAGGGGGTTTAAAAATAGATGGGTCGACATTCCCGGGGCATTTTTTTTAAAAAAAAGGAGTTTTTTTTAAGAGAAAATACGGGTGAATTTTATTTTTATTTGTGTTTTGCTCGGAATGGAAGCGGTAACAATATTCGAACCCGGGGGGGGGGACCGTTTTAACCCCTTAAGATGCCCCCCCCCCCCCCGGGCAGGCAGAAACCTTAGGGCAAGTTTCCCTACTCCACACACACACACACCTCTGTTGTGGGGTCAGGGGGGTGGTGGGGGGTAATAATCCCTTCAAAAAATATATAATATAATTGGTCATTCGATCTATTTTTTGATTTTTCCGCCTGTGGGACGCTGCTGTGCACAATTGGCTGTCCCGCTTTGCCCACAGTTCACTTTACAGTAGGTTCTGTGAATCGCTCTGAGACGTCTCGAAGCCGTGATAATGCACTATATCCAAATGCAGTCATTATTATACTATTATAAGGTAATGAAAGCTTAATGTTTCGCGCCCGAGTGGTAGTTTGACCCCGTTGTTTCGTACGTATTCCGTCCTGTGGCTCAGTGGTTGGAGCACGCGCTTTGCAAGCGAGAGACCTGAGTTCGATTCCCGGCAGGTCAGGGGGAAATCTTGGGCAAGTTTCCTTACTCCACACAGAGCCTAATAATAATCCCTCAAAAAAAATCTAATAAATCGGTCATTTTCAATCCACGACTGTTTGTGGGACACTGCTGTGCGCAATTGGCTGCCGCGTTTCGCCCACAAATATATACAGTCAATTCACTTTACAATCTATTCTGTGAAGCACTTTGAGACGTGTAGAAGACATGAAAAGCGCTATATCAAATGCAAGGAATATTATTAATATATTATTATATCGTAATGGGTTTACATTTTAAAAAGAACACCACTTTATTCGATCAATATCTATTATTTTGCATGTTTGCAGGAGTTGGTTTGAAGAAAGTGTTCGACTTTCAAGAATAAACATTCAGCTTTTGATGCTGAATAACTCTTGAAAGTCAAATACTTTCCAGAAGCGCTTTGAGACGTCTCGAAGATGTGATAAGATGCTATATCAAATGCAAGGATTATTATAATAATAATAATAACTAATAATATATTCAAATATATTGAAAAGAAAATATTTAGCCCTCCCAACCCACCCTGGATCGAAATTTAAACAATGAATACTACTGTGTTTATGTTCAACACATTTAAATGTAAATGACGTGCAACAAACCTTGTACAGACTTATTCCTGGAGTTCTGAGTTTGCTTGTTTACACACCAGGTTCTCTTACTTTCTTGTCAGGACAAGATTTTATGATATGTGACCATTTCCCCTCCCTTACCACGTGTGTTTACATTCCGAAACTAATCCACCGATGTTTGTGGGGAAAAAAACACTTCTGCTCATATGAATGGAAACACACATGGCTTTTCCTGGAACTATCTGATATGTTGAGCCGAGGAAATGACTTGTGGTCGTGATTGATTGACGGCCTGAACTAAATTACAGTGACAAAAATGTCACCCAGTACAACAACAAATGACACTTACACGGCACCTTTCACATCGAGAGGACGTCCCAAGGTGCTGGACAGTCAGGGATGTGGACCCGAGCTGGGGATTGGGATCAGGAGGGGTGGAAGGCAGGGAGGGTTGAGGTTGGACTGAAGGCACTGTCGAATTGGAGGGTCTTGGGATGGGTCTTGAATAACAATAATAATAATAATCCTTGCATTTGATACAGCGCCTTATCACGTCTTTGAGACGTCTCAAAGCGTTTCACAGTATATACTGTAAAGTGAATTGACTGTATATTTTGTGAGCGAAACACGGCGGCCAATTGTGCACAACAGTGTCCCACAAACACCCATTGATCAAAGTGCCAATTTTTTTTAAAGGCATTACTACCCCCGAAAGAGCGACCTGCCAATCGACTAACAACTGGGTTCCTACTTACTGCTCAACAGAGGTGTTGTGCAGAGTAAGGAAACTTGCCCAACATTTCGTCCTGTTGGGAATCAGACCCAGGTCTCTCGCTTGTGAGGCAAGTGTTCTAACCACTGAGCTACAGGACTCCACTCGCCTCCTTGAAGGAAGCAAGGGAGGCAGCGAGGCAAAGGGGCTGTGGGATGGAGTTCCAAAGCTTGGGGTCAACTCAGGCTCTCAGAAATCTTTCTGTAAATAGTGAAAAAACAGTTGCCAGACACTATGACTTAACTCAGTACAGCCCCAGGTATTGCTCTTGGGACCTTCCTGATTAGCATCTCAATTTCAGTTTCAGTTCAGCTTTACCATGTGAGACATCAGGAGAAGCAATACTCCACCAATGCTCCCAATGCAATACTCTTCTCCTGATGTCTCACATGGTAAAGCTACGGGAGCTGTCTTAGTGAGCTAAGCCACAATGTCAGAGATTATTATTATTCTCATGACTCTCAGGCAGGATGAGGTACAGATACTCCCTCTGAAGGACTGTATGAAATGTTATCAATCACTTATTATGAATTGGCTCCACATCAAGGCCGAGAGACCTTGGCAGAGCTGATATCCGAGTGAGCAAGCAGTCAATGAATACTGAGTCACACTGCAACATATTGGAGATAGAAAACATTTTGTTTTTCATGTCTGTGATACTGAATATTCCTGAGATCTACTTTTCCCCGGATCTGAATTGTAAGCCATTTCACTGGTGGCTGATGAACGTTTTTGACTGGTGAAGCAATCTGTGTTTGCCGAACCATGGCAATGGACCCTTCACTTATGCTTTCTCGCTTTCCCCCCCCGCCACGCTTGCTCACCGATAATTCCGCCGGTCTCACTGAGCCCTCTGTAGTGTAGTGGTTAGAACATTCGCCTCACAAGCAAGGGACCTGGGTTCGATTCCCGGTGAGGGCGAAACATTGGGTGAGTTTCCTTACTCCACACGCCTCTGTTTACCTCGCAGTAAGTAGGAACCTGGTTGTTAGTCAATTGGTGGGTCGCTTTTCTTGGGGTTATAATCCCTTAACAGAAAATAATTGGATCACTCAATCCACAAGTTATTATTTGGGATTATTTGTGGGACACTGCTGTGCGCAATTGGCTGCCATGTTTTCCCCACAAATACAGTCAATTGGCTTTACAGTGTATCCAGCGAATCGCCTTGAGACGTCTCGAAGACATGTTAAGGCGCGATATCACATGCCAGGATTATTACATTATTATAATGCTCACTGCGGGATCTACAGCAGATCTCGCTGGATCTCGCTGTCGGCATTAATCCGCTCAGCTCCCACGCTGGTCTGGCAATAATAATAACAGTCGTGGATTGCGATGACCAATTTTATCATTTTTTTTTCTTGAGGGATTATTATCAGGCTTGCGGAGAAAGGAAACTTGCCCGAGGTTTCGCCCTGCCGGGAATTGAACCCAGGTCTCTCGCTTTCGAGGCAAGTGCTCTCACCACTGAGCTACAGGACTCCAATGCTTGCCGGGTGAGGCGGGGCCTCACTTTCCTTACCTGATGGATTGTCACTCGGCTGGTTGAGCATAATTTCAGGTCACGTAATTGTTCATCATGAGGCTAATGGAGCCAGAATGTGGTGACTAAAGATGGAACAACAAGATCACGCTGGAGAGAGTACTTTGTTTATTCAGCACTCATAAGTAGGTCACCACAAAGCACTCGTTCGCCCACCTTCCACGCCCCGCCTATCCTCACTGCATTGACTGGTGAGACTCCCCTCATGCGCAACAAAAACAACAACAACTCACGTGTACGTAGCCTTCATGCGGGGTAGGGTCCCGGAGCGCATAAGAGTGTATGGAGTCCTGTAGCTCAGTGGTTAGAGCGTTCGCCTCGCAAGGCACGAGGACCTGTGTTCGACTCACAGGCAGGGCGAAATGTTGGGTGAGTTTCCTTACTCCCCTCACACACCTCTGTTTACCGAGCAGTAAGTAGGAACCCGACTGTTAGCCGCTTGGCGGGTCGCTTTTCGGGGGTAATAATCTGTTCAAGAAAAGCGATAATAATTTGGTCACTCAATTCACGACTGTTTGCGGGGACGCTGCTGTGCACAATTGTCTGCCGCGTTTCACCCACAAAATATACAGTCAATTCACTTTACAGTATATTCTGTGAAGCGCTTTGAGACGTCTCACCAACGTGATAAGGCGCTGTATCAACTGCAAGGATTATTATCATTATTTTGGGCACAGTACCGATAGCATAGCTGTGCTGTTTGGGTGGATAACAAGTTACTACACATAAAGTGACTCATCGAGTGAAGCGTTATGAGACTTTTCATGAGGTGCAACCTGAATCAATTCAAGGATTATTAATTAATTCAGGTTGCCAGGATTCAGTTACCTTTTCTCTCTACCGTGCTGCTTGGGTTTGTTTTTTGAAAGCAAACCAATTGTCGCGAGGTTCAAGCACTCCAAGACGTTACCCACGTGAAGCAATCTATATAAATGCAAATTGTTTAACGACGCCCAGGTATTGAGGTCTAGGAAAGGGAGTTGCACAGGATATGCACCTTAACCTAGATCTGGAATCTGGAACTGGAAGCGGTCCAGAATTTTAGTTTCACAAAGGGGTGTGGAGAGAAAAGGAAGTTTCGCATTTTTTGTGTGAAAGTTTTTA